TTAAAGATATCTTTCTGGAATATTGTAACCATTTTTGAATGGATATTTCTATGTTTAAACCACATATATCTTATATATATGGACACAATAGGTTTTAAGTTGTTTTTTTAGATTTATCAATAAACTTTTTGTTAAACAAATAAAGCTAAATAGAGTGAAGTCTATGAAAGCTCATGCTACCAATTTCTTTCTTTCAGTTAATCTCAAAGGTGCTACAAGATCTCTCTACGTACTGATTGTACAGACTAACATGGCTAAATCTTTAAATTCTAGTTTGTGTTTTGTTTAACATTTCCAAGATGTTTGGACTTCAATTCTTGGAATCCTCAGCCAGCATACTCAATAGTAACAATTTCTGAAAGCTATAGAACAAAGCATCAGGAATTCCTCAGTTTCTTCTTTGCCACTGTACAGTACATTGCAGTAGGGAGACAAATCATGTGTCACAGTTCTGTACAGAAGAACAAAATAGCTTTTTTTTTTTATTCCTATTCACTTTTACTGTAAATTGTGTTTCCTAGACATTTCAGAAATCTATAGTGTCACTTCCTGAGCACTTACACATCTTAAATTTTTCACACTGTATCAAAAATTAACTTTTCAATGAGAACCCTGAAATATGACACATTAAGGCATCAAAGTATTTTGGAAAACTGTAGGAAATTGTTAGCCTACCAACCACAAAAGAAGGACTTTGAGCTCAATGGGATGAAATCCCATATTTATGGTCATGCATTAAACCTCACTAAATTCAGTAGGATGTAAATGAGTGTAGGAGGCTGGTAGCCAAGAGGGATCAAGTGCCTAGTTTATAGGTTGTGAAAGTAAAGTGTTTTATTTTTTGAAGATGATATTAATCTTTCAAATCCTAGCTGTATTTTGCTTGTTGCTCCCACAGGTAGCTGCTTTGCATGAAAAATCTAGAAATAATTCTGCAGCCCTGGAATCTATAAAATAGAAGTTGCTTTTTTCAATTGCAATAACAGGCTTTATCAATTAGCATTTTAATATATGCCCTTAATAGAAAACTATAACAGTACCTGGTTAACTCTCTGAACATATTAAAATTGGGTTGATTTGTTGGACACATTCCCCTTAGATGTCAGGGTTCACTACGGTCTCCTATATAATGTCTGTTAACAATGAGATAGAGAGAATATTGGAAGCAATTCATTTTTTCCTATTTTTATAAGCCTGATAAAACAGAATAACTTAATAATATATTAAACCCTACTTCAAATAAATCTATGGAAGAAGCTTAAAGGATACTAGGAACTCTCTCTTATCATCACTTCCAGTGCTACTGTGGTTGAAAGTATAGTTGCAATAACATTTAGATGTGGGATTAAAAGAGGGAGGAGGGAGGACTCATTCAAAGGGTTTTGTTTTGTCTCTGGGGGGAGGTGTTAGCCTACAAATTATAGAATTCCCCAGTCTGCATGAGAAATTATAGAGATTGTAGTCCTGAAAGTAACTTTTCCAAGATAGAAACATGTCATCATTAATTTTCATGTAGTATTCCATGGTTTCTTTAGCTTGAGGATGCAAACAAAAACTTACTGTTAATGTCTTACAATGGCATGAGAAAGAGGAGGTCCTATGAACTGTGTTTTGCTTAGTCCACAAAATTGGATTGTGGTACTGGATTCCCTTTCCAGAAATTCATGCTTCCTGGACAAACTACAGCATTAACAGTGTTGGCTAAGATCAGCTCTATTTAACAGTCATGGTAACTGCACGTTAGGCATTGCTGCAGTTTGTCCTTGTTATTAATGTGGTAACACTAGATTTTTGAAAAACCTTCCTTAATTTTGCTAGTTAGGGACTACCTCTAAGTGAGTAACAGATGTAAACATCACCATGGAAAGGGAGAATGCATGATTTTTTTTTTGTATATATTTTTGCTGTGAAAAAAAGTTTGCAAGTATAGTTTTTTTTTTTTTAGTTTTTAATGGATTTGATTAATAGCTTTGCAAACAATCAATATAATCCACACAAAATATATTATATGAGCCTTGGTGGTCAACAAAAAGAGTTTTACAGGAAGATGATTTATCCTGAAAACTGTTGGCCCTAGATATCCATGGATGCAACCATCTACTGCTTGAAAATATTTTTTTTAAAAAAACAAGAAAACCTTGATTTTCCCATTTTATAAGTAAAAAGTAAAATAATGACACATTTTACTTTGTCATTGAATATAACAGGACTTGAGCATCCATGGATATTGGCATCTAGGCTGTGGTTCCTGGGACTAAACCCCAGCGGTTATCAAGGCCCACTATAACAGTATGTGCTATTATCAAAAGTAAACATGAATATGAAATTCTGGGGTACCAAAAATTTGTATTGAGTTGTGGAAAAACGTGAAACTATTTAAAGTACTAATAGAATTCATCATGGACAAAAAGTTAGGTTTGTTAATGTTGTGCTTTTTCCTATCACAATAATTTATTGCAAATGGAGGCACAGTGTACTGTATGTGTTTTTCTTTAGAGTTCAAAGGTTTGAGGTTGTGGATACTTAATGTGAAATGTTGCTTGATTTCATTTTTCTTCTTCTACTTTGGCAAGTGACTGTATCATGATGCTAGTTTTCACAGAAAATAAATGCCATGGTCCTGATGTATTATCATTCTCCATGGTACCTTGTTTCACATATATTAATATTAAGCCACTCCTGAACTAATGGTGTACCATGTTTTTAACTGTGTATCTAAACAGTATTCTAGATTCCAGATGCCTAACGTTGAGTTTCAGAGTATTTGCAGATGTTTTTCTCTCAGTTTTTTTTTTCTTATTTTCAATGACTTCATAAACAAATGAACATTGATCTTCAGTGTTCTAGGCAGTGGTCTGTTTATTGTCTGTATATTAACATCACAAAAAAGAATTTGCTACAAGGAATATATGATGTGGTTTAGAAGTAGTAACTTTAGTTTTCACGTAACAACACTTTACTCGATTCAGGATATAACAGCCCCCCCCCCCATTGGTGCAATGTGTATGGATCACACACTTAGTAAGAACATTAACATGAACTGAATATTAATGAATAGCACGTACAACTGGTGCCCAAAGATACATTTAAGGTCAATTAGTTGTTGCTGTTAATGCTGTGTGCCCTCATTTCCAATTTATGTTAATCCTAAAGTGAACCTTAGGAGTTTTCTTAGCAAGCATTGTTCAGAGGGAGTTTACTTTTGCCTTTCACCAAAACTTGTAATCCTGGCCTCTGGACTCATAGTCCAACACAAACCATTACACCACACTGGCTCTC